ACGGATGTGGAGACTTTACAGTTAATTGTCATGTTATGCCATCCCTATGATGTGAAAACAGAAGAGCCCCCTAACTGAATGTTTTTTTCTCACATATATCACATATAAAAATAAACTAATGTATTAAAGCCCTTTTTAATTATTTACATTCTCTAGTTTTTGTTTTACCTGTCCTCTGAGGCAGTTGGACGAATAGTTGTTTGTAGCGGAGTGTGCAGTTCATTAGAGTAGAAGGTATTGGACAGTGTGTCAGCTCCTTCAAGCTCTCTGCAACAATAGGGCCTGCCATGAATTACCTCCATGTTTCTTGACTAAGATGGCACAGACTGGAAGAGAAGAGGAGGGCACACTCCGTTCAGCAGTCAGCTTGATTTGGTCACTATCACAATGACCCTCCCTCAGGGAAGGCAGGGAACATACTTTATACTCCTGAATTGTTCAAGTCACCACTGCATAGAAATCACTTCACCAACAGGCGGTCTGTGGACCCTCAGATGATCACATCAGTAATAAATAGCAACTTAAATTCTATGGAAATGAATTTCAATGGAAACAAATCCACAAGTGGAAGATGTTCCTTAGTACAATCTAAACACTATGTGGATGACATGACATGTAGGTCCATATCCATAAAAGGCCACTACTGACATCAACTGAAACTATATTTTTGCCTCAAAATTTACCATAACTATTTAAGAAAGCTCAGCTGATCCCCCACTCCCTCCCCACCCCATAATATTTCCAAAAAGTAGGCAGAATCATCCAAAAGAATCAGCAGCTGTGCTTCTAAAGGTTTCAGGGATCCGGAATGAGAGAAACCCTTTGCAGAGTGGAGAAGCAGGGGCGCAGCACGAGCAGGACGCCAAAGGGGTGAGAATCCCACCCTCTCCCTCAGACTTGGAGGGGGAAGCCAAGGAGGCACCTTGGCTGGGACCGCGTGGCTCCCTGGCCATCAGCGTCCTGCCAAGCAGTGTGACTCGGGGGTTCGGACGCACCTGAGACATCCGCCTGGGAGCGGCTCTGGACCGCGTCTCCCCTTCCCCAGAGCTGGTGGGCCTCTGCGGGGCGTGGAATCCCGCTGTCATCCGCACCTGCGGGCCCGGGGAGCTTGCGGGCTGGGGGCAGGTGCGGGTGGGAGAGAGAGAGGGACCGCGGACAGGCCAGGGGTGGGGTTGAGGGTGCCTGTGACGGCAACCGTGACCGTGGCACTAGGTAATGCATTCTTGCGGGGCAGCGGGCGGCTCTTAGAGGTTTCGCAGGCTCGCTCCGCGACCCGTAGGAATGGGAAGTGGGACGTGAAGCGTGGAGGGAGGGCTAGACATCCAGTGTAGAGGTGAAAGGAACTCTTCTGGCGACCCAGGCCCCCGGCCCCGCCCCCACGCCTCGCCCCGCTCTGACCCCAGGCGACCTCTCGTGGAGGCTTCATGTTCTTCTTTGTGGGCTGCCTGTTCTAGGCTTTTCCCCTGGCCGAGGCGTTCGCTCGTGTGGACGGGGCAGAGGATGAGCACAGGGCCAGGATTGAGGGCCAGAGGACACCCTGGTGAGGCGGGAGCGACCAACCCATGTTCCCCCTCCACCTCCCCTTGCGGGAATGGAGAAGAGTGCCGCCACATCCAGGGTGGCTTCTCAGGACTCTGCACGCGCAGCTCGCGGGATTGCGCCCTGGGAGAACCTCAGCTCTTCCTCTGCTGGGTGGGTGCGGAAGTGGTGAACGGGCAGGTTGGCCTGCGGATGCCCTATGCAGTTCCCAAGGATCTAGCCCCACCTTGATGACCTCAGTTACCCGCACCCCTGCCCTTGCCTTTCCCCCCCAGAAACAAATGTGAACCACGTTTCTGCACTTAAAGAGCCACGAGTTTCTCTGATGACTGAGAACTGGGCTCCCCAGAGGGATGGGGGCGTGGGAAGCTTAGGTTTCGGGAGAGGCTAGAACCAAGCCTGCAGGAACACAGAAGGATGTGGGGGTAAGAGTGATCACCACCTCTAAGAAGGGAGGTGTGACAGTGTCCTCGTTCTCTGCCTTTTTTTTTTTTTACAACTTTTTAATCAGCCGACCAGTGGGTATTCATTTTATGCTGTGCCTTCTAGGTTAATGTTAGCTGATGTGAGGGAAAGAAAGGTACACTGGAGTAGGCAAGGTAGTCATTTTGTATTTTTGGTCAACTTTTTAGTCCCGGCACCTCTTCCACAACTCCGCTTGCAAGAGTAAATACTGCTGGAGATAAGAGTTGTGAATTAGGTGGTTTGCCTATACCTTTTACTCCTTTAAACATCTTTCCCCCACCCCAAAAAACTTCTCATGGAAGTCCATCCTAACCTTTTTTTAAATTTTATTTTGTCCTTTTGCTGCTCTAGGGTTTTCAGGATTTCCCTTTAAATTCCTTCCCATTAAATTTCCTGTCAGCTCAGCCTATTTCCTGTGCCCAGCCTTCCATTAATTTACATATTCCACCTTTCAATTGTGCTTGACCTTTGTCCCATTTCCTTATGGCTTGATTCTTCCTGGGAGGTAATAATTGAGCATAATAGATTGAATCAGGCATATCTGCTGAAGCTGCATCACTAGCCCCATGTTTCTATGTATGTGAATGGTTGTGGTACCAGGGAAGTTAGGGCAACAATGGGTTGATTGACCAGGATATATGGTGATAGTCTACAGGTTCTACTGGGTTTGAAATTTTATTTTCTGTCAAGTGGGAGTAAAGGGTAGGAAAATATAATTACTTATTTTTAAATTTGCTATTTCCAAATAAAACTTATAGGCAAGAAAAAAATTCATTGTCAGGGGGTGCCTGGGTGGCTCAGTCGTTAACCGTCTGCCTTTGGCTCAGGTCATGATCCCAGAGTCCCTCATCGGGCTCCCTGCTTGGTGGGAAGCCTGCTTCTCCCTCCCCCACTCCCCCTGCTTGTGTTCCCTCTCTCGCTGTGTCTCTGTTAAATAAATAAATAAAATCTTTAAAAAAAATTCATTGTCAGATCTTTATAAAACAAGGGTTCACTTTGAAAATCCTTCCCTATCTGAAAGTTTCCTGAGGATGTCAAGACTGGGTCTACTTGACCATGCTCCTTATTCTAGGCTTTTTTAACTTAACTCACACCACCTCAGCCATCAGGTGATATATGTGACCCCAACAACACAAAGTAGCCACTTACGGGGAGGTGCTCAAAATAACTGACTTCTTAGGTCTCTCACCACCACCAGTGGAGTCAGTAGCCTCGGATCACTTTCCTACTTCTGACAGGTTGATCTCTCCTTCATCACCTCATTTACCTTAATATATTCTTTGAGTCACCACTAATCCTTCCAGCAGGGAAAATGAAATTTGGGATTGAAAAAATGTATGCATAGAATATTGTGGCTGGGTTGACAAAAATTCCAAACCCCTAAAGTTAGACCTTTAACCTTCAAGGAAATAATATATAGGAAGACTATAATAATGTAAATTATTAGTTATACTCTGTAACCTTTGTTTTAAATCTGTTATCGAGACTTTTATTTTTTATTTATTTATTTTTTTTAAGATTTTATTTATTTGCGAGAGAGAGAATGAGAGACAGAGAGCATGAGAGGGAGGAGGGTCAGAGGGAGAAGCAGACTCCCTGCTGAGCAGGGAGCCCGATGTGGGACTCGATCCCGGGACTCCAGGATCATGACCTGAGCCAAAGGCAGTCGCTTAACCAACTGAGCCACCCAGGTGCCCTATAGAGACTTTTAAATAAGTGGTATTTGATAATGAACCAAATAAGGTTTTGAGATATCTGGTACTTCTTGGTAGATAGGAGTATTTAAAAAAATTCCCACCTCCCAGTTTTGATATAATTGACATATAACATTGTATAAGTTTAAAGTGTACAGCATAATGACTTCATATATGTGTATGTTATGAAATAATTATCACAATAATTTTAGTTGTTAGCATCTGTCACCATGTTTAGTTACAAAAAAGACTTTTTTTCCCTTGTGATGAAATCTTTTAGGATTTGCTCTCTTAGTAACTTCAAATATACCATATAGCATTAACTCTAGTCATCCTGTTGTGCATTATCTCCCAGTACTTTTTGTATTTGGAAATTTGTACTTTTTGACCACCTTCACTTGATTCCCTCATCTCTTACCCCCTGCCTTTGGTGACTACAGATGTGATCTTTTTTTCTATGAGTTTGGTTTTTTTTTTTTTTTTGGATTCCACATATAAGTGAGATCATACAGTATTTATCTTTCTCTTATTTTACTTAGCATAATGCCCTCAAGATCCATACATGTCATTATGAATGCAGGATTTTTTTTTTTTTTAAGATTTATTTGTGAGAGAGAGAGAGGGAAAGAGAATGAGAGAGAAAGTGAATAAGCAGGGAGAGCAGCAGGCAGAGGGAGAAACAGACTCCCTGCTGAGCAAGGAACCAGATGCAGGACTTGATCCCAGGACCCTGGGATTATGACCTGGCTGAAGGCAGATGCTTAACTGGCAGAGCCACCCAGGCACCCTCATGAGTATTTTTTAAAGGGAAAAAGTTTGAGTCTTATTCCTTGCCTAGAAGATGGGTTGGGAAGTCTCTTTCAGTGACTTTAAAATATACATTTAAAAATATTGCAAAGCTTAAAACCTCATTGATTCCAATGTATATATCCTACTTATTAGGATGACAATTAAAAATACATATTCTGCTGGCTTTAAAATTGAACTGATTACAAATGAGTTTAATGACACTTTAATTAATAGTAAATTGAGTTTTTTTGCCTTAAGTAGCTAAGGAACTATGTAGTCATTGAAATGACATAGATGCAGATATTTATAAAATGTGCTTATTTAGTAAATAATCCCTAATTGCCTAGAATGTGTCAGGGATTGTCCCAGTGCCTGCAATCTCGGGATATGGACCCAGGGACCAGTTATAGTCCAATGTGTAGGTGCAGCATCGAGAGGCAAACACTCTTGCACTTCTAGCCTCAAGAATTATGGAAGTGAGGACTGTAGTCATGCTGTATATTTTCTTCCTAGTCTAGGTGGACTAGGCTCCAAAGATGGCCCCCAGTGAACCACAGCTCCTGCTATTAATGCTCATGTGTACTTCCCATCTACATTTGAATGGGCTGGTCTGTGACTCATGTTAACCACTTGCATGCAGTAGAAGTGGTGCTATACCAATTCTAGACCTAATCTTTAAGAGGATTGGCAGCTTCTACTTTCTCCTTCTTGGAACATTTGCTTTTGGGAGCTCTGAACCACCATGAAATAAGTCTGACTACCTTACTGGAGAGACCCTGTGGAAAGATTACATGAAGAGGGAGAGAGACCCTGTTGTCATAATGTCCCTGTTATCTGAAGAGATGACTCCAGTCCCACCTGTCATCTGACTCAACCACATGAGAGGCCCCAGGTGACACCAGCAGAAGAACTGCCCACATGATCTCAGTCAACCTACAGAATCACAAGGTAATAAAACAGTTGTTCTTTAAAACCACCAAGTCCTGGGAGGGTTTATCATGCATTAATAGATAACCAAACACTTGTTATGTAATGTTTGTACATATTGTGTAATTTTTTGTCTTTCTTATTTTTTTAAATATTAGAATGTTTTAATATTTTAATGTTAATTAAAGGATGTTTGTTGGTGGTTGACTTTACAGTGTAGTATTTAAGATGCAGAATATTTTGATGGCATTGTAACTAAACTAGGAGAGGAAATTAACATCATTCAGAAGAGGACATGGTGACTGTTAGGACCTTCTGGGGAGAGAGTGATAGTATATTCATTTGTATGAAAAATAATTTCATCATTTTAGGTGGAAGCATGCCATATTATTATTGCATTGATGTTTAAATATGGGTAGAGAGGTGTCTGTGGATACCGAAGAGCCAAAGGAGTGGACTTTAGGCTAGTTCATGCCACAGTAACATATAACCCCTGAATCGAAGTGGCCTAAAATCTCAGTAGCTAGTTTCTCCTTATGCTCCAGTACTGCAGGGGGCCTCTGCACCTTGTCATTCAGGGGTCTAGGTTGATGGAAAACCTACTGTCTGACAATTTTGCCATCTCAGTATGGGGGCCTCAAGATTTGGACCAGCAGAAGGGAGTGTAGATAATTAAGTACCAGCTCTTAAATGTTTCTACTCAGAAGTGATTTGCATCAGTTTCTAAACATTTCAGTGGCCACAGGAAATAACAGGACGTGGCCTGGGATATGTCATGTTCCTATGTACCTAGAAAAAGAGGGAACTGGAAATGTTAGTGAGTTTTAGAAACATCAGTTACAGTGTTCTACTACTTTGCCTCCCTGCAAGTTTTAGCTTCATCCTATCATTCTCTACACTGCCACCTGGGAGACTTTTGTAAAATGCAAATCTGACATGTAAAATGCAAATCTTGCTTGAAAGATATGAGTTGGCCAGAACTGGCCTTTAGAAGTGGCCTGCCATTGCGGGAGGGTACGGGCTGGATACAGCTGCTGGTGGAGAGAGAGTAGTCTAATGGCACAGCTGGAACTCTTCTTTGTAGCTGCTGGGCTCTGGTGGTGAATAATAATAATAGAGGATCAGTACCTGAAACAGAAGTGTCTTATACTGTTACCTTTGCCTTGCAGGGTCATTCCAGTACCCTCTATTGATGAAGTTTAAAATTCTGCCACCTGACAAAGGAGAAGCTTTTGCGGGATCCAAGTCCACTATCACAAAATGCAGGGCAAAGAAGAGTGAATTTGGAATGGAGAACCAATAAATTGATAATTTGCACACCTTAGCAAAGATAATTTATTTAACACATACTATGTGCCAGGTGCTATGATAGAATTATGTGTGTGTGTGTGTGTAGGTGTACATAATTTTAAATCCCACAGCAGCCCTGTGAAGTAGATATTATTCTTATTTGACATATATGAAAAATGATCCATGTTTGTCTGGACATCAAAGCTATGCTCTTTTCTGCTATCCTGATATTCTTTTCTTCTCTGTGGAAAGTTAAATGCACCCTCATGTCTTCCCCTTTAGTGCTTGCCTCTGTATTACAACACTTATATTGCAGTACCTATTGGTTTGTATGTCTACCTCTCCCTATAATATAGGAGTTTGTATGTCTACCTCTCTCCATAATATAGGAGTTCCTAAAAAGCAGGAATAGTGTTTTTCAATTCATTTTGGGTTCCTAATGCACACCTTTAGTGCTTAGTACCTAATAGGCACTTAAATGCTCATGAAAAGAATAATTGTTTGGTTGTTCCCTCCTTGAAGCCAGTGCCAGTGGGCTAAATAATTCTGGAAACACCTAGGTAGGTACCAAGTAAATCTGTTGAATTGGGTTGAATATTTGCCATTGGATTAAGCTAGTTGGGTCTTGTTGAGTCTTGAGAATAGGGAAAGCCTTTTTTGTTTTTATTTTATTTTATAGTTTGGTTTATTTATTAATACTATAATGTGGTGGGAAACTGTCTATTTAAAATCTCTTTGATATGTTTTTGTGCCTAGGAAATCTTTGATTCCTAAAAAACACTTGGCCCATAGTATAATGGTACAATTTTAGTTCACACTCATGGGTAGGTTCTGATGTTGGTCATTCCATTAAATTTCCTTTAGGTCCACATTTTACCTCTGTCACTTTTTCAAGTAAGGAATTTTGGAATCATCCTTTGGATTATGTTGTTGGTATTGAAAGAGTATTGAGTTTTTTTCTGGCAGGCAGTTAAATTACCAGCATGTATGAGACTTGGTTTTAGCCTTTATTAAGGTGGGTCTATTTCAACTTTGCCCCTGACTCTTTGCCCCTTTATAAAGGGGCCTTAGCTGAATGGCCAGAATGTTCACCAAAGTCCCTTCACTGTCCCTAGGCCTGAACTCCAGTGTGTCCCCAGCACTGTTCAGTGTCTAGAATCTTTATTCAGTTCTCATGCTTCCAGCAGCTATTCTAGTCCTGGATTTTGCTGTGTGTTTGAGACCCTCCCTCACAGGTCAGAGTTAAGATTCATGAGCTTTCAGGACTTGGTAACCCCTAATTTATCCTCTGCTTCCCCAACTTATTGTCATTATTATTTGTTTTGTTTTTTTCTTTTTTTCTTATTTATTTATTTATTTATTTATTTGACAGAGACAGAGACAGCGAGAGCAGGAACACAAGCAGGCGGAGTGGGAGAGGGAGAAGCAGACTCCCTGCTGAGCCGGGAGCCCGATGTGGGACTCGATCCCAGGACCCTGGGATCATGACCTGAGCCGAAGGCAGTCGCTTAACCAACTGAGCCACCCAGGCGCCCCTGTTTTGTTTTTTTCTATTCTTGTTTTGGTACATCTCTGTCATCACTTTTCTATATTTCATCTCTGTACATTTCAGTATATCTCTGTCATCACTTTTCTGTATTCCCTCTGCTGAAATGCCTAGTTTCGTTTCTGTTTTCCTAACTATACATATTATATCACACATAGGTAAGAAAAACTGTTGAATAAAAAAGAAACAGAATAAGATCTAAAGCTCCATAACATTTAAAGTTAAACACAACGGAAAAAGTGACATAATCAATATGGTGACATAGGCCATTCTTCACTTCAGTCCCCCTATATAAGAAGACCAACTAGCAACCATCTATAGACAAGACATTGTGAAAATCGCAGAACCCAGGGGTGAGGCTGAAGCACCTCCATGTCTGCAGAGATTGAGAAGAACCTCATTAGGAGAGTAGGAGGAGTGACTGCACTCTGATTCTATTGCCCCTCCATGCCTGGATGCACTGAAGTCCCCCCAGGGCCTATGGTTTCACAAGTGGGGAAAAATATAGAGCCCTAGGTGGACATCCAGCCTCTGAGCATTGTGGGATGCTTCCCAGGAAACCCACTTGGGTCTTCCTTCACAGAGATGACTGGGAGAATCTGTGGGGCTCAACCACTGGGGATAAGATAGAGATGGAGAAGAGGTTAGGGCTTACAGCAACTGAAGCTCAGAACTTGGCAAATCACATTCCTGCTTGCAGTGGTGCCTGAGCAGAGGTCCTAGCCAGTGGCCCTGTCTGGACAGGGAACTTGGTTGGCAGTTCTGCTTGATTTGGGTCCCTACCTAACAGGCTTTACCAGCTGTTGAGCCTGTTCTATGCCTCCTCACCCGAGGCAGGGAAGCAAATTTCCATCTGCACCCAATTCTTGAATATAGCTTCCAATCCCACCTGATCAGGAAATCCAGGCAACCACAGAGTCCATCCTACAGCCATGCACAGGCAGGGAGCCAGATCAGCAGCTTTGCCCAACTATTAAGTATAGCTCTGGCTCCACCCCACATAACCAGGGAGTGTGAACAGTGACCTTAGGAAGGCTTGCAGTCAAGCCTATATTACTGCCCAGCTGTGGAGCCCAGCCTACAGCCCAACCCAATTGCTGAACCCAGTCCATGGCCTTACCTAATAGGGAACCCAGCCAGTTACCCTGCTAGACCTCAGTGTACACTATCTAGCCCCACCAAAGTACAGGATACAGCTGGACCCCTCCTGACCAGAGAGCATAGCCAGCAGCCTACCTAATCATGAAGCATAGCCTGTATGCTTATGTATGGTTGCCCAGCTTCAGGGTCTGTGGCCTTGCCTCTTCATAGGAACTAGCCTGAGGCCTGTCCAACCCTGAAGCTCTGCCTGCAGTCCCACCCGAGCACAGAGTCCAGTCAGCAGCATCATCCAGTTGGAGAGCACAGTCTGAGATCCAATCTAACAGGAGCAATTGCAGAGCTCAGCCCATAGCCTTTCCCAACCGTGGAGTTCAACCAGTGGCATCACCCACCATGGAACATAGCCTGTGACCTTGCCTGACCAGAGATGATTGCAAAGCCCAACTAGTGGCCACATCTGACTGTGAAGCACAGCCAACAGCCTCACCCCATGAGAGAGCCCACCCAACAACTTTGCTTGACATGTGGCTCAGCCAGGAGGCCTACCCTGGAGCTCAGCCAGTGGCACCCTCCCCCCTTACAACCTCAGAGCATAAGCAGTGGCCTCGCTCAACTAGACCCTGATAGCAAGCCCAGTTGCTCACAGACTGTGCCAGCTGACCCATCCAGTCCAGCTGAGCTGACTAGTGAAGATCTTTCTCTGCTGAAATGAACCTGTAAAGTATAGAAGAAGACACTGCTATTCAAATGCATAGATACAAATGCAGGGAATCAAGGATCATGAAGAATCAGGGAAACATGACTAAAGGAAACTAATAAAGGTTCAATAACTGACCCTAAAAAAATGGAGATCTATGAACTGTCTGATAAAGAATTCAGAATAACCCTCTGAAGAAATTCAGTGAACTATAAGAACACACAGAAAGTTAAACAAAATTAGGAAAACAATGCATAAACAAAATGAGAAGTTCAATGAAGAAATGGAAACCATAAAAACCCCAAACAGAAATCCTAGAACTAAAATACAATGACTGAACTGAAGAATTTAATAGAGAGCTTCAACAGCACACTTGACTAAGCAGAAGAAAGAATCAGTGAACTAAAGGTAGGGCATTTGAAATTATCCAGTCAGAGGAGCAAAAAGAAAAAAGAATGAAAAAGTGAAGAAAGCCTATGGGACTTATACCATCAAGAGAAACAGTAAAATGGAAATCCCAGAAGGAGGACAGAAAGAGAAAGGGACAGAAAATCTATTTTTTTAAAGATTTTATTTAAGAGAGAGAGTGAGTGGGGGGAGGAGCAGAGGGAGAGGGACAAGTGGGCTTTGTGCTGAGTGTGGAGCCCCATGCAGGGCTTGATCTGACGACCCTGAGATCATGACCTGAGCTGAAATCAAGAGTTGGATGCTTAACTGATTGAGCCACCCAGCCACCCCCAGAAAGTCTCTTTAAAGCAATAATGGCTGAAAACTTCCCAAATTTGGGGAGATAAATTGACATCCAGATTCATGGGGTCTAAACAACCCCAAATAGGTTGAACCCATAAAGGGCTACACTAAGATATTATAATTAAATTGTCAAAATTTGGAACAAAGAATCTTGAAAGCAGGAAAAATGAGTTGTCACATACATGGGAGGCAGTCGAGGTGCCTGCGTGGCTCAGTCATTAAGTGTCTGTCTTCGGCTCAGGTCATGATCCCAGGGTCCTGGGATCGAGCCCCTGCATTGGGCTCCTTGCTCAGCGGGAAGCCTGCTTCTCCTTCTCCCACTCCCCCTGCTTGTGTTCCCTCTCTTGCTATATCTCTCTCTGTCAAATAAATAAATAAAATCTGTAAAAAAAGAAAGAAACTTTGCAGTCTAGGAGAGAGTGGTATGATATATTTAAAATATTGAAAGAAAAAAAAAACCTGTCAACCAAGAATACTATACCTGACAAAGCTGTACTTTAAAAGGGAACAGAAAGAAAGACTTCCCCTAAGAAACAAAAGCTGAGGGAGTTCATCACCACTAGACATGACTTACAAGAAATGCCAAAGGGCATTCTTCAAGCTGAAATAAAAGGATGTTAATTAACATAATAAAAAGTGAATATGTAAAAGTCACTGGTAATGGTAAACATATAGTCAAAGTCAGATTTTCTAATATTGTAATGGTGGTGCATAATTTACAACTCCTGTTTAAAAGTTCAAAAACAAATGATTAAAAATAGCCATAACTACAATAATATGTTACTGGATACACGATATAAAAAGACATACATTGTATCATCAATAACCTAAAATGTGATAGTGGGGGAGAAATAAAAGTATAAAGTATCTGTATGCTACCAAAGTTGAGTTGCTATTAGCTTAAAATAGGATATTATAAGTATAAGATATTTTGTGTAAG